CACCCACATGTATTATAGTTTGTGCAATTGACGTAAACCAACGAACTGTCCAACTTTACTTCACCGGATTTTTCACTCATTCCAACGTATCTCGTCTTTAGCATCTCATTTTAATAAGCCGAAGCTCTGGTGATGGCGATGGCAGTAGTAGTATTGACTAATTCCGGGCAATATCTTAATTAGTCGTCTATTTGACGTTGAAAAACTAACGCCGGATTTTTTCAGTCGGTTTCGTTCGAGTCCACGCTTTTTCAGCTCTAGGCTAGTCATAATTTTCGAGATTTCAGCGGCTCGACCGAGGAGATAGACTAATTAAAAAAACTAGTTTTGTGAAATAGTGTAATGTAATATCACCACCCACAACGTGTGTTGGCGAGCGACTTTGGCTCTTGTGGCGGGGGATGGAGGGACGACGTGGACGCGAACCCGGCCGCCTTTGATTGTAATTGTACCGTATTTAATGGCTTTTAGTGCACAATTAGAGATATATGATATTTATTGCGTCTAGTTTACTATAAATAATGACCGACGAGCTAATTGATGGGATGGGATTGAGATGTTGCTTTCGGTGGCTAGGAAACTGGAGGTTTTTGTTCGTAGTACCTATCTGAATTTTTTTTCTTCAAACACTGGTGCAAAACCGCAAAAAACGGTTACAGATTAATTTTGGTTATTATTAATAACGTAAAGTACTAACTAATAACTAACGCTTATCTCGGAGCGTTCAAAAAGTGCAGTTCAAACCCCAGCCTGACTCATTCATTACAAACAAGCGCAAAGTTTTTTCTAATCAAGAGACATAATCACGTCATTGTCTTTTTCGCATTTTTGCGTGCGTCCACCTCCTCGTTCGCACAATCTAGTCGGGGGCAAAACGTCACGTCGGTCCGAAGACGTATAATAAAGAAATAATTACGTCGAGGACGGTTCTGCATGTAATTTAATTAAGATTCGTCGGCAACAAGTAAAACTGGAATAATATAGAGAGGTAGGTAGGTAGATGGATTATGGTTGTCGGCGGCGGCGAGCGGCGATGGATGTCCATATACCATACCTACGATCGCACCAGAGATAACTTCATACGTCGTCCATTGAGCGTATAATTTCGTGCGTGCACATTCCGCAGCATCCCACTATTCTGATCCTTTTGCTGCACAATAACGTTCTCGAGACGCTGATGGTGAGTATCTCATACGTGATCTAAGCACTCGTCATTACTGGCGAGCACGTGTGTCAAATGCAGAGACGTAACTGAATGTAGAGGGACGTGGTCGTGAAGAATTCGACCGACAGGAAAAATGGATGCGAGAGACGGACAACAATGCGAAAAATAAAGAAACTGACTGAAATTGAAGCGTTACGCATTTTGAACGTGCCATTTTTCACATATCTTCAGAAAAAAAACTGTTCGGATTATAAAGTTGCTTCGGAACAATAAACTTACCTACTGACAGGACCGTTAGGTCTTTCCTGGTATACTGTCATAACCGGATAATATCAATATTTATTGTAATCGAGTCATCCTTGATACCGAAAAACGCATGTGCATGATTAACTCCATAATTGACATTTGACAGTGTTTTGACATTTTTGACAAGCAGAGTTGTTTACGAACATGAAACATAGTTTCATCTAGTGTACCTAAATGTTTAATATAATGATAAGAGTAGAGCAAACACTGACAAGTGACAACAATTTCTGATCCAAAACAAATGCCAAAAGGTCAGTGGCGTTACTAGGAAAATTTTAAATGGGGGCTACTATTGAATTAACTCAAGAAATTTTGAACAACGAAACTGTCACTCTTTATTTTTTTTTCATCCTAATTTCTTTCTTCATGAGTTCCAAAACCTTACCAGTGCAAAAATTATTATTTTTTAAATAATCTCTCAAATTACAAAATATTTGCTCTACTAAAATGGCTATCTTGAACGCGTTCTCTGAAGCGTAATGTGAAGCACCAGTTTTATATTCTTTTAATGCCACAAATTTTGCATAATTTTCATTACAATTCTTCTTAGAGACCAAAGCAACAAACATTTTTTGTGTAAAAACTGTACAAAGCTTTTTTTTCTCTCAAAGAAAGTTCTTTTTTCTTCAAATTCCAAAATAAAGCTAAATTTTCTTTTCCTTTAGGAACATCGTTTTCTTTTCTGTTATTACTTTTAATATATGTAACTCAAAAAAAAAAAGGTGTTATTTTGTTGATTTCGTAACTTGAGTTATTTGAAACGTCCAAATATTAATAATAATGTGTTTTTCCACTAGTAGCATTACAATGGCTAATTGTCGACTTGTCTAGAGGTCTGTAATTTGGAAAATTGTGAACCTTGGTCAATAATGTAAACGTGAAGTTGGCCACCTAATGTGACAACTGTCCACAACTGTCAGAAAAACTGAGACATAACCTGAAAACGATCATTTTGGAAAATTTGCTTTTAAATTATGCCCTGGAATGATTTCCAAACCCTGAATTGATTATAAATTGAGGATAAATTGGTGAAACAAAGTTGATGAAGTTGATGGGAGTGAAAATGAAGTTTACGGGACTGAAACTGAATCATGGTTCCGATTTGGTTTGACTTGATTTGCCGTAGATGAGCTTTGGACGATTTCGGCGATTTTTTTTTATTGAAGATCGAGCCGTCGTTGTATCCTTCTGCTATGCTGGAGGATTTCCATTCCCCGTGTCGCTTTAACGATAAAAGGTCCATACATTTTTCAGCCAAATTTGTCGCGGTCGCGTAAGTACGACGGAATGAGGAGGGGTACATGATGGTTCACTTTACAACATTTTTCACACAAAAATTTATTAAAAACGGGAAATATGGAGGAAATTAAAACAAAAGTTCTGGACCATTTCTGGATTGTCAAAAAATAATAAAATTCCAAAGCTTACTAAAATGACGTGAGTACACATTTTTATTGATGCACTTCAGAAAAAACATTTTGAAAATTCGCAAACCTCAAATGGGCTACTAGTGGAAAAAATAGTATATTAACCACGTTTGTGAAGCCAATTCTAGACCTCGCGCTTTAGAGCCCTCGACGCTGCGCGTCTCAGGTTCTAATTTGCGCTCGGTCTAGAATGTCTGTCTTCACAACCTTAGTTAATAATATACTATTATTGCCCAACAGCTCATAAGAACCTATTACAGAGCAATTGATACAAACTAAAGTATTACTAATACAAAAAAAAGAAAAGTAAATAAATAAGTAAAAATAAATATACCGGATACCTGAGCCCGCATAAGTCTAAATTAGGAGTTACTTAACAAGTAGAAAACAGACGAAAAAGATAATATAAAGTAATAATAATAATAATAATAATAATTCTAAACATAAGTGATAATTAATAATTACTCTCTTGTCAAGATACTTAAAGCTAAATACTTAAGATCTTTTAGATTTATATTAAAAATCTCTCAGTTTGTTGTTAAAATTACTACACATAACATTAACCGCCAGGCGATAAGAAAACCTTACCTCCGGCAAGCAAAGAAACAATGGTAAAGCAAAATGGAAACAAAGACGAACAGGACAACCAGAACGCCACCAGCCTCAATAACAACTGGAAAAAGGTAGAACACAAAAAATCGAAGAAACGGGAAACCATTGTAGGAAATGCTAACTCGACCGACATCAAAACTGTCCCAAGAAATGCGTATGTGTATGTTAGTCGATTGTCAAGTGAAACGACTGAAGCAGACCTGGAAAACTTCTTACGCAAAGATTTTCCGGAAAATAAATGCGAGTTACTAAAGAGCAACTTTCCAACTACTCATGCCCGGTTTAAAGTGACAATAGATTTTACAAATCTTGACAAAAGTAGAAACCCTGACGTATGGTCAAAAGGAGCTCAGATATCCCGATTTTTTCATCCGAGAAAAATCATAAACCAGACAGGATAAAAGATCGTACCCCAAACCATCGAGAAGACAATGGGCCGTATGAATAAAAAGAAGCAGTTGCTCGTGAGCATGAGTACGAAGTATGAGCACATGCTTAGAGTAAAAAGTACGAGTATGAGCACATACTTCAATCAGTATGAATAAACTAAACCTTTTACTTAAGAGCATTTGCTTCTTACTCTGGAGCAAACGCTCATATTCGTTATCATCATAAAAACACCCATCGATAGCTTATTTCCTATAAGAACGACGACCATGAAGAGATTATTTAAAAAACCACAATTCGCTATCCATGATTTTCATTTAATTCGGTTATAATCAGTGCATTGTACAGATGAGTTCGTCAAGTGGCTGTGAATCGCCGGGGTCCGGTGCTGGGAAAACTGCAAATTCCCAATTATTTATAGTCCGAGAAATCGAAAAACGACCTGAATTACTATCAAAATCTCAGTTACCAAACGAAAAAGCAAAAAAAGAAAAATCCTTACTGGAGGTGGTGGAATTGTATGAAGTCCACTTAGGGTTTCGCATCAGCCAACAACAGTTGAAGAAAAAAATTAACAATATGAAATCGCGGCTCAAGAAGAAGACCGACAAATAGAAGACCGGAAACAAACGCATTACTTTGCATGAGTGGGAGAAGATCTTGTATAAGATACTTGAAGGAGATGATAATCCAACAATCAACAAAATTCCGGGTAGGTACCTATCGCATCTGTGTTTAATACACATAATATACCCTTTTACATAATAAACTCTATAATTCTATAAAATAACACTTTTTGTAGAACCTGCTGTAGCAGGTATGGCGAAAAGGGCACAAGAATGTGAGCCCAAACACAGAGAGGAAAAGAACTGTGAAAAGAGTAGACGTTCTCCCGAGCCCAAGAAGTCAAAACTTTACAACTACGAGACTGAGGAAACACACAGTTTAACCACAACGGAACTACAAAGACTTGTGTTGTTGGAGCAACTAAAAACCGCAAGGATGCAAAGAGAGTATATTTTGAAGAAAATGGAACGACTGGAATAAACTGACAGTGATAATATGTGTATTATACCAAATAAACGATATTTAACAATGCATATTCAACTCTTTTTGTTTGTTTTAATTAAGAAACGTCTTCTAATAAAGGTGACGTCTTGGGCGTTGCAAGTCGCTTGTACATTGATACTGGGCCATCCTTTTCTATTGATATATTCATCCCCATGACGACCTGGTTTTTCAATTCTAATATGGATACAATCAATGACCCCAATGACCCCCGGAAAGTGATTGACATTTTGCCAGTCTTCTAAAGCCTGCAAAATATTTTGTTCAGTGTGAGGAAATTTGATCCATGATGAAACTTTTGCTGTGACCCTTGTTGTGACAAATGTAACTACTTTTGATACTGTCGACTGATGAACGCCTAATTCTTCTGCTATTCCTGACTGAAAACCGGAATTGGCCAAACACCTCAAAAAAATTTTCATTTTCATTTTTGGCGACAAAGCACCTCCCCTGGTTTCAGTACAATCATTTAAAAAGTAATCTGCTAACCAAGTAACATTTTCTGCAGAAAATCTGCAATACGTGCTATTAATCGTAATATACTTATAATGACAAGGTTTTATAGTCACCTATGTTGGTTTCCCTACGCTCCTTATAATGTTTAGTTTTTCGTAGAACAACCATGTCTGCCATTTTCCGAAATACTGTTCCATCCAACAGAAGTTGCGTCTCCTTTATAGCAGACGCATCAATTTGTGAGCAAGTGCTCCATAGTGTAAGTAAACGCTCTCTTTTATTCATATCATTTGCTCAAGTGTAAGCAGCTACTTCAAATTTAGAGCACTTGCTCAAGCTCCAACACCAAAGTATGAGCAAAACCGTTTGCTCACTGTTTTATTCATATATAGCGAAGGATATGCTCCAAAAACAACGAGTACGAGCAAATGCTCACTTTTAATCATACGGCCCAATGACGACTCGAGCCAGCGCTTGAGAATATTGAACTTTAATGTAAGGAGTTTACGCAACAAAGTTGACGAACTAAATATATATGTGTACGAGTTGGATTTTCCTGAAGTGTTGTGCTTCACTGAGTCATGGCTGTCAACAGAAGAAGTAAACGAACTTCGATTTGACGGATATAAGGTCGGAGCTTATTTCTCCCGTTCTGGACAACGGGGGGGAGGTGTTATTATTTTAGTACGTAAGGATTTATTCTTTGGGGAGATTAACGTAAAAAATTTGCACGTGAGAAATTGTTTGAAGTTTGTTGCATCAAACTAAATTTAAGCAAATGTGCAATTACTATAATAAGTATTTACAGGTCTGGAGGAGATTGTAGGGCTTCTATGCTGCAACTTGAGGACCTGTTGAAAAGGCTTCATAAACCGGCTACGAAAACAGTCCTGTGTGGGAACTTTAACATTGATTTCCGGATAAACAGTAAGGACAAAAATTTGGTTCTTGATACTGTATCACCATATGGTCTAGAACAATATGTCTTTGAACCGACCAGAGTTTGCGGTAAGTCAAAAACAACCATTGATAACATCTTCCTATCGAACAATTTCAACAAAGCCAGTACTCATATCATCGAAAACGATATCACAGATCATTACGGGCAGTTGCTCCAAATCAATGGTTTAATTAATAAATTAAACGACAATAAAAAATGCATATTTATAAAAGAAATTTCTCAAAAAAAAAAAAATAGAAAAATTTCAGAATCTGTTACCATCGGAATCATGGAGTGACGTTTATAACAATTCGGGACCAAAAAAATTCCAAAAATTTGTTCAACTGTTTGACTGCTATTTTGATTTGGCGTTCCCAAACCAAGAAAAAGAAATCAATATAAAAAAACCATCCACCCAAAACCTTGGCTTAATAATGAAATTATTACCAGTAGCCGAAGATTACAAGATATGCATAAAATCACAAAAATTTACCCTAACACTACAAGATCATTCAAAATCAACATAAAATTCTAGTCAAAGAAACAAAAAAAGATTATTATGACAATATTCTAAAAACATCGATGAATATAGGTAAGGATGCTTGGAAAATAATAAATTCGCATCGTCCTAATAACAAAATAAATAATTTACCATACACATTACAAAACTCTGAAAATGAAAATATAACAGGTTATTTAAATGTAGCAAATAGTTTCAATTCCTTTTTTATTAATGCAATACAGAATATACCAAAAACTTTTAAAAATACCCGGAATGATAACACAAATAGACTACAAAATATTCCATTTAATAGAACTCAATGTTTTTAGATCCTGTAGTAATACCAGAGGTATATTACATTATTTCATCTGTGGCTAATAAAAAATCGAAAGGACTAGATGGGATACCGTATTATTTATTAAAATATGCTCCTGAAACCACAATAGCTGTGTTAACAAATTTAATAAAAAACTTCATTTAGTACGGGAATTTTCCCAGATGAGCTCAAAACAGCAATAATTGTACCTATACATAAAAAAGGTAATACATCAAAAATGAATAATTACAGACCTGTTGCATTGTTGTCAATTTTTTCAAAAATTTTTGAAAAGGCCTTTTATCGTAGATTATATTCCTTCATAGAAAGACACAATATTCTAAGTGACAAACAATTTGGTTTTAAAAAAGGAGGAAGAACAGAAGATGCTATTGTGTCAAAGTTAATGGATATATTTGATTCTTTAGATGATAAAAAGAAAGTAGTAGGGATATATTTTGACCTAAGCCGTGCATTTGATACTTTGAATCATAACCTCATATGTGATAAACTAGAAGCATACGGAAGCAGAGGTGTAGCTTTACAATGAGAAAAAAATTATTTAACAGGACGACAACAGGTGGTAAAAGTTACTTACAATCAGAGACACTATTTATCAGCCATTAGCACCGGCGTACCTCAGGGCAGCATATTGGGCCCGCTCCTTTTCATAATCTTTATTAATGATTGTATACATTCCCAAAAGAACTATTCATTACGACTATTTGCAGATGATTCATCCGCAATTGTTACATCTAATGATATAGCATCCTTAAGTGTTCATGGAAGTAAATGTGTTTTAAGTATGGAATCGTATTGCTCTAAAAACTTTTTATCTCTGAATAAAGACAAAACATCATATTTGCAGTTTTCGGCTTATCCTAGGCAAAAAAACTTTAGCGTATTAATTAAATCCACTACAGCTTCAGTAAAACATAATAATGTTGTAAATTTTTTAGGTATGACTGTGGATGAACATTTAACTTGAGAACCTCATATCGATATAGTAGTTAAAAAACTGACTAGCCTGTGCTTCTGTATAAGGCAGTTAAAAGAAAACGTAAATGTGTCAACACTTACGAAATATTATCATGGATGTATAAACCCTTACCTTTCGTACGGAATTATGTGCTGGGGCAACTCTGTATTTGTAAATAGAGTTTTTATTATGCAAAAAAAATTCTTAGATTGATATTTAATCTACCACAAAGAGGTTCATGTCGTCAGCTTTTTATAAAACATAAAATATTAACAATACCCAGCATATATGTTTTGGAATGCATTGGATATGTAAAACGAAATCTACATATGTTCATGACTAATGGTGATATAAATAAGTACCAAACAAGAATGAGCCATAAATTATCTTACATTAGTACAACAAGGTCCTCGAGAGGTAGCGGTGAGACTGTACAATCATCTGCCAGAAAATATTAAAGTAATCAATAATGACAAAAAATTTATTAAATCCGTGAAAGTTTTGTTAACGGAAAAAGCTGTCTACTCAAAGAATGAATTCCTTACTATGTAGGTGTTTATATGTATGTTAGTACGTTTATATGTGCATCTCTGTTTTTTGTATTTTTTATATTATTATTTATTAAATTTGACAAGTCTAATGACTGCAATTGTACGCAGCCCTTACAGACAACAATAAATTATTATTATTATTATTATTATTAAAATCAAAACCGGCCCCAGCACACTCACTAACACGCAAAGACACTCACTATCACTAACAATAATAACTAACAAAATTAGGTCGTTTAATTAACACTTTAGGTATCTAACGGTAAATTAGGCATTTAAGGTAGTAATAAATGGGCGTTAAATAAACAGAATTTTTTAAATTCGGATAAATATATAAATTTCGCTGCAATGCCTGAAGTAGATATAAAAAGGCAAAAAACCTAAGATCCGAAGCCTATTAATAAGTTATATCCACTGGTCTCACATCCAAATTTAAGCTTCAAAGATTTTGTGATTGTTTACTCGGAACATTTTTTGAATTATTTCCCTTTTAGAGCTTCAATTTGATCCTTTGTTGATATATTTGCCAAATTTTTCCTTAAATTTTGCAAAAATTGGAGAATTAATGCCTGGAAATTAATAACAATCCCATTATTTTAGAAAATGTTTTCAGAACTATGAACTTGTATTAAGTATATTAATTATTACAGAATGGGAATAGAAAAACAACATTTTCCTGAACCAATCCAACAATAACAAATCTGTCGCTTTTCAAGTAATTTCCTTTAAACACCTATTCATCCAGCTTTAACGCAAAATCGCCTCTCTTTAACCGCATTAGCTGCACCATCCCGCACAACAACCATCAGCAAATTGCCATCCATCCACATTCAAGCCAACTATTCATCTATATCCACACGTAATGACTATTTTCGCTAACAATACGTATCTAATCCCACATTAGCTCTCCCAGCAACTTATTACCGAGCTTATCAAAAATAAAACCTCCATCTTGTGCAGCGCACATTTTCCCGTTTCTCGATTTCATACATGCACACCTGGCGCACCGCCACCACAAAACGAAACAGTGAAGAAGCGTATGGGAGTCTTGTAGTTTGTACGTGATCACGCGTGGAGTCCTTTTGATCACAGAGCGGCCACTCCATCTTGAGTAATTGCTTCCATCACCCAGATATATTAATCAAACCGTACAGAGGAGGCCGAAAATAATTTACGCACACATACATGCGGGATTGGAACACGTGACCGGAGTCCTGATATTTCTGGGTTCGTTTACAGGATGATTTTAATAATGGGCGGACGATGGTAATGGAAACGGTGTAATTACGGTGGAATTTTTACAGAAAATTCAATAAATTTTTTTAATCTTTCTTCCGATGTATAAACAAGCAATTTCAAGTGCTTGTTTATACATCGGAAGAATGTCACGTAGAAATTTACTTTTATTTGAATGAGTTTGTCACCTCAAAACAAGGGACTAAAATTATTGATTCAGCCACAATCGAATAGAAAGTTTTAAATATTATTATTATTATTAAAATTTTTATTAAATCAAGACGCGCGTATTCTCACCTTTTCGAGAAAGTGGGGTTGTTTTATTGTTTGTAAATTCACAGTTCATGTTAGGATTGTAATCGTTAACTGGTTCTAACACAATTTAACAGACATTAGATTTATTTAGATAAATCGCTTGCTAGGAGATTTCGTGAAATTCACTTAGTCTTTTGTTTATCAGGTTATGAATCGGCTTCTGGATGGTAATACCTACTTAAGTGTTACATTATAACACTCCTTAATTTCTCACACAAGGTTGCTAATAGTTAATAATGAACATTTTAATTTAACCTAATGTTTATTATGCTCTTTAGTCATAAGAATGAAATTTTTATCATTTTTCAGTTCGCACCACTATTAAAAAAAAACGAACCACCACAATCCAAGGTAATCCCCCAAAACTGAGCTAACCCTTAAAAACACACCCCTAAGAAAGCGTTTTAATAGTTCCCCGCTGCAAAGTGCTTCCGTTACCATTTCTTTTAATTCTAAGCGAATCTCGTACCGAAAGCCACTACTGACTAATGCCCGCGAACATCCCCGTCTCCCATGAAGTCATAATCTAAAATAATTGCGTGCAATATTTTACATCGTTCTTTGAGATCGCGGTCTAATACTGGAGGCATTAAGAATTTGAAAATCCGAAATCCTTTCTCATTCCGTATTTAATTCAGCTAAACCCCAATGGAAATCAGAATTAAAACGTAGTTTTCTTGTAGAACTAAATCAGAGCGTCATTTCCACCACAGCCGTGAGGCCAACACGCCGTACTCAATTTCCAAGACCAGAAAATTTTTTTAAAACAACACACATAATATCAAAGTAAACGGTTCACTAGTTCTGCACAATTTTTTATTTATCAAGAGACATACACATCCTTCTCGTGTCTTTCTACCTCTACAACAAAATCCTTTCTAGCTTTGTCGCGGACTGAATTTTCGGGTTGAAAGGTTTCCGGCCGTGGTGGAAATCCCTCCGTCCAATCGGGTTTTCCTCTCGACTCTTTCTTTTATTTAAATATCTCGCTTGTTTTATAATCTGTCTCTGTCTCTTATTCTTAAATCTATCACAATTCTGCGTGCGTTTTATCGTAGAACTCCGACAAATTACTCCCAGGTCGGTTCGGCGGCGGGGAAAGGGGCGGCGGCACGGGTTATAAGAAGAGAGTTGGGAGAGAATTTTCTGAAATTAATGTTTATAATTGCATTGTTTCTTGCACGGGAAAATATAATGGAAATACATTGATTAAGTTATTTGAGCCGCCGACATTCGTTCCGAACTAAAACTTAGTTAAATCGCGATCTTTATGGAAGTTTTAAAAGGATTCATTTAATTTAAACTTATTGAAGGGGTTTTTTGGGAGGATTTGCCGACGTGGGGTGCGAGAGTGTGGGTGGTGGCGTATGTGTTTGCTTGACCTGGAGGTGATTGGCTTAAGAGACGAGATAACAAGAAGTTTCTGTATTAGGAGATTCAATCAAATACACTGAACGTAGATAATCAAGTCTAGAACAAGGAAAGTCGCTATTTTGATATTTACGTTTCGTTTAAATCACAATTATCGTACTAAGTAGTTTATTTTGTAGCATAAAACGACTGTACGTCACTCTGGGATGTCAGGCCTTGGCAATATTCTGCTTATTAATAAAGATATCAACGTGAGATAAATGCGAAGTTTAGTGCTAGCTAGGCTAAATAGGAGAAAACAGTGGCGTCGTATAGGCGAGGTATAGTTGGAACACGGACGTAAATAATAACGCTTGTTTTCATATTTTTAATCTCACTTGTACGGGTTATCGTCGAAAATTAAAAAATTGTAAAATGAAATTATATTGTTTGCTTTAGAACGAATATAATGAACCTTTGTTAATCTAGTGGTTCCAGATCATCGTTCAAAATTTATTTGTGCATGCTCTCTACAAACTTTATTACGTTATCTCAATAATTGTTCAGCAGACACTAGTTAAGTTAATAATTTTAAGAAAAACAGAAAGCAGGATTATTTCAAGACAAATTAAAATAAGCTTTTGCTGAATGTATAATAGTATAAAACGTTATTATATAGTTTTGTTTTTTTTGCGACAATCTGAATGCCCAGGATAAAAACTCAATGCGGATTCATAAACCACAAATACAGGAGTATGCTAATCTATACTTATATAATAAAGCTGAAGCTTTTGTTTATTTGAACATGCTAATCTCAGAAACTATTGGTTCAAATTCAAAAAATCTTTTTGTGTTGGACAGTCCATGTATCATATCTACATATAGACTATATAACATCACGCTACGATCATGAGGAGCGAAGTAGCAATGAAAAATACGGAAAAACGGGAAAATTATTCCTCCTTTGACAGCTTCCGTTGCTTACGCTGCTTAAACGGTTAAAGTTACGTAAAAATCATGTATGACGAAATTGTTCCCCTCTAAAAGTTCTAAAGAAAAGTCCGCGACAGCATACGTCTATCTTTTAAGGTCGCGTCAGTATAACCTTTTTTATGGTTTTGAAATTTGTTCTAAAATAATAATGCTTTATCTATATTAATAAAAATGAATCGCCGAAATGTGTGTACGCTCATAACTTCAGAACGACTGCACCGAATTGGACGATTCTTTTTTTTTACGTGTACCTTATTGTCAGGACAAGGTTTATATGTAAGAAAATTTATAAAAAATAAGACGGCTAAAAGATAAAAAAAAATAAAAATGTTGCATGGGAATCGCCACTTCGAATGAATTTGAATAGTTGGCGTTCCTGACGGACCTTTCGCCTAACTGACGTGTCATACAAAACTATTTCTTCCGTGCGATTGTGAAAAAAGTATTATTGCATTTCAAATTGTTCTTTGTTTTTTCGTAGAAAAGAACGTCGTTTATTTTAAGAAAAGTCTTAGTTAAAGTGAATTTAGTTACACATTGCGAAAGTGTCTTATTAATTTTGATCTGCCATTTACCTATGTTCACTTTGTTGGTTTCGACAAAACTTCAAACTTTACCGTTATTCGAGGATTTAATTTGAAGTTTTCAATATTTTTAAATTCTCAAGACAAAATTTACAGATTTGATTGACTGTGAAAATAATTCTGTGTCGTTTTATGAAGTTCATGACAATGCCGAGAAGACGACAAGCTGACATAAGTCCACGAAGCCAAACAAATGTGCGACGAACTACCTAAGGTGCAAATCGCGATGATTTATTTCAAGGATAAGTCGGATACGGAAGTTGATCAGCGTTGTGCTCATAATCAACATCATAATCAAACATTGAAGCGAGACATTGGACGGTATGAATAAAACTGAGTAGATACTCATATTCGAAGTACGAAGTACCTACTTCATTATTACTCTCATATACCTGAGCATCTACCCGATGTACTGTGTATCTACTTGCAAACATTGTATCTCCCCGGACACAAATTGAACATTTACGCGTTTTGTCAGCATTTAATCTAAAAATGAGCATCGGCGTGCCAAATGACTATTTGTCCTTATAAATGATAAATTAAATGTAATATATTTTTTTTTCCTTAAGAATATAGAGTTAACAAAGTTAGTTGAGTTACAAAAGTCTCTTTTGCTCCACGTTGGCCACCAACGAGCGATTTTCATGATTTTTGTGAAACTTTGCTGGTTTTGAAATTGAATTTTCTGTCCTCGATAGTTGATGCTCAGCAAGAACCACGGGAAGGTCTGGAGCAGATCTCGCTAGGAAAGGAGAGGGCTAGGAATTGTTAATGAGGGATAGAATGTTATACAGTACAATACAATGGAAATACAATACAGGTACCTACAATCTAGCTACAATGCAGAATACACTACAGAAACAGATACAATTCAGATACAATACAAATGCAAAGTTAGTACCCAATACACCACCGGAAGAAATTGCACCAAAAATTGAGAATGTTGCAAAATGAAAACCCAAGCAAGCACACCGATGGAACTCGGGACGAAATCTATTGGTCGCAGCGCTCACACGCCCAAGGGAGAACGCAGCCGCATAAATCCAAGGTCGTCTTACCTCATTCTCAAAGAACGATGCAACCCAGCGTCTAAGGGCCAACAGAACCCCCCCAGGCCAAAGCGTCTGACGACATGGAGAATTCAAACCCGGAACCAAAGAATGCACTGTTGCAAAATTAATACCCAAGCAAGCACACCGATGGAACTCGAAACGAAATCTATAGGTCGCAGCGCTCACACGCCCAAGGGAGAACTCAGCCGCATAGATACAGGGCCGACTGACCTCATCCGTTTAGGATGATGAACCTCATCCGTTTAGGATGATGACCCAGCGTCTAAGGGCCAACAGAACCCCCCCAGGCTAGAGCGTCTGACGACATGGAGAATTCAGTCTCGGAACCCAAGAATGCACTGTTGCAAAATTAAAACCCAAGCAAGTGCACCGTGAAAACAAAGCATTTGCACCACAGGAGCTAAATTGGCAAGACCCAAGTTAAGTTAGTAACACATACAATATACAGTACAAAATGCTTCAATTACAAAAGTTACAATATACAAATTTCTCCACGTTTGCCAACAAAGAGCGATGACTGTGCTCGCTCGTTGCTGTTGCCCAGCAAGAACCAAA